CCTTGGCCGAGTGCCTTCGGAGCAGGCCTCCGAGAACGACCCAGCCCCTTCTGAGAAGCCCCGTCTGCCTTCTCGGAAGACCGCGCCCCTCGCCCAATACTTTTCTGGTTACGCGCTGCGAACGCCCCCCCCGCTCATCTCGGTGTCCTCCCATCCATCTCTCTCCTCGTCGTCGACCTCGTCGCCGTTCGTCGTCTTGCTCATCCTCCCTCCTTCCGGCCCCTCCTGCTCCTTGCTCCTCCCTCCCCCTCCTCCCATCTCTTTCCGTCGTCCACCTGGCGCCCCTTGCCCTTCAGGACCCCCCCCCCTCTATCTCCTCTTGACTCCGCCCTCCTGCTTTTTGCCACCTCCCCCCCCCTCTCGGGAGGGGGGGGGGGGGGCCCCCTCCCCCCCCCCCTCGGGTCGGCCCCAGTTGAGTTGCGGATGGCCCGCCCGCCGTGCGCGGTGCCCCTCTTGCCGTCTTCGTCCCCCGCTTGCCTGCACGCTCCCTGTGTCCCTCGCCGCCCAGCTGCCGGTGGCTGCAGCGGCGGCCCCCCCTTCGCGTGCCCGGCCCCTCTCCCCGCGCGCATCGCGGCCGCCCCAGTCTTGGGCTCCTGCCGCCGGGCCTGCCGCTGCTGCGCTCCGAGCGCGGCAGCGGCAGGCGCGGTCTCCGATTCGATCTTCCGGCCCGGCTTCCCGTCTCGGACCTCGGAGCCGATGCGGCGATCGCCGACGTTGGGGCCTCGATTCCAGAAGGTCCGATCGGATCTCGATTCCGACCCGGCTTGCCCATCCGATGCTGGCCGCGGAGGACGCGTCACGGGGGGGCGATGAATGAGGCGGCCGCGAGGGCTGCAGAAAGGGGCCCTCTAGGGCCCAGAAAGGGTCCTTCGAGACAGCCATCCTGGCAAAGTTCGGTAAATTATGTTCCGGCCTGTGCTGGTTAAAAGAGGGGGCCCTTTAGGGCCCCAAAGGAGTCCCCAAAGGGCACGTTTGTCGCCCCCCATTAATTCGCGCCCAGCGGCCTCTACTGGGCCCTGCCCCTGGGCTCAAGCGCTCTGGGCCACCCTCGCCCGCGAGGGGGGGGGGGGTCGCCCCTCTCCGCGCCCCAGCGCCCGCGGAGCGCATGGGCGACGGCGGCGCGGGAGATGCCACGCAGGGCGCGGGCGCGGGCAGCCGCACGCCCGTCACCGTGATCACCGGCTTCCTGGGCAGCGGCAAGACCACGCTGCTGCGCCACGTGCTCACGGCGACACCACGGCGACGGCGATGACGGCGGCGGGGACGACCACCGACGACGACGGCGACGACGACGACGACGAGGACACGAGGACGACGGCGACGGCGACGACGACGACGACGACGACGACGACGACGACGAGGCGCGACGGCGGGTCGGTCTGGCGTGCGCACCCTCGCGGGCGGGTCGGGGGTCGGGTCGGGCGAAGACGCCGATGCCGCTGCTCGTGCTGGAGAGCTCTCGTCGTCACGGCCTGGTTATCCTCGAAGTGTTGACCAGGACGTGTCGTGGGAGAAATCCGGGGGGCAGCGGCATAGGCCGCTGCTTGTGCTGGAGAGCTCTCGTCGCCACGGCTGGATTCTTCTCGAAGCATTGGTGGTGGGAACGCATCCCGGGGGAGGCTTGGGGAGCAGCGGCGTGAGCACCTCAGCTGCATCGATGCGCCCGTTGTGAAGCGCAACACGTGCCGTGCTCCAGACGGCCATGGCCATGCCAATCTGTTGCGCGTTGGCTCCGCATATTGTACCGCGTTTTGGCGAACGTATCGCGTCAGACCTACTTTTCCAGTCTACGTGTCGAGCTCCGTATCAATACTCTAGGCCTCCTGGATGGGGTCCGAGTAGATGGGGTCGGAGGATCGCGCCGCATCGCCGCCGCATCGGCGATAAGGCTCGATGCGGAGCCCGATTTGCTCCGCGCCGACGTTGCCGATGTACCGCCGACGTTGACGATGCATCGGCGATGCGCGGCGATCCTCCGACCCCATCTACTCCGACCCCATCTAGGAGGCCTCTAAATATGACGAGCCAGCAACACACATAGACACACACACACACACACCCATACCAATATGGGGGTCGGAGATGGCTGTGGGTGCGCGTTGTCGGATGGGGGTCCCCGCTCGAGCGGGAGCGTTCCCCAGGGTCCGACAACCCGCACCCATACCCATAGCCAGCCCTCCCTCCCAACGACCCCCCTGGCTGTGAGTTTGTATGTTTTATGCCTTCGCCAACACGCCGCGTGATGCATGATGATGCATGCTGCCTATCGGGGCAGCCAAGATGCTCGCCGGGCTGCCCCCCCCCCGCGCGCAGGGGCCGTCGCCGCTCGGCCTCGGCCCCTGCCCGACCCGGGCCCGGGGCGTGCCCGGCGCCGCGCCGCTGCGGGGCCCCCCTTGGGGGCCCCGCGGGCTTCGCTGGGGGGGCCCCCCTCGGGGGGCCGTCCGGGGGCTCGGCGTCGCTCGGCCGTGTGCGCTGTTTTTTTGTGTTGTCGCGAAGACGCCCCGAGAGGGCCCCAAGACGGCCAAAGAGGCCCCCAAGAAGGCCCAAAAGGCACCCAGAAGGGCTCCTAGAGAGGCCCAAGATGGCGAACACAAACGGACAGTTCGAGCCTTCCGGCACGGGGGGCCATCGAGGAGAGCCGCTCGCGGGCCAGCCTTCGGGGTAGGTGGAGCGCACGGAGCCGCACACACGTGTGTGCGGGGAATGGGCGTCCGAGCGGTGGCGGGAGGAGGGAGGGCGTGCGTCGGCGGCCGGCGAGGGGGGGAAGCGAGAAGGGGCGGGCCTTCTCAGAAGGCTCGGAAGCCCCCCGGCCTTCTGAGAGGTTTTCTAAGCCTTCCCCGAAGGCACGAAAAGCTTCCCAGAAGGCGCGAGACCTTCTGAGAAATCCCGCCGCCTTCTGAGAAGGTCTCGCGCCTTCTGAGAAGTCCCGCCGCCTTCTGAGAAGGCCTTCTCCTTCTCGTTTCCCCCCCTCGCTCGCCGCCGAATGTGGGAGGAGGGGGGTCATCCTGGGGGGGGTCATTCTGAGGGGGCGGGGGACTGGGGAATTCAGCCCCCAGGATCCCCAGTGGAGGCCATCTGCCATCTGGGCCCTCCTCCGCGGGAGCCCTTGGGCCGCCCTTTGGGCCTCGAGGGCCGGGGCGATCAGATGAGGGCGAAGGGGGATCGTTGATCCTCGTTCGCCGTGTGTGGGCCTTCCTCCTCCTCCTCCTCCTCCTCCTCCTCCTCGTCCGTAACCATTTTGGCTCAAGATGTTTGTGCCCCGTGGCAGAGCACGGAGACCCCTGGTCCGGGGACTGCAAGGACCGCTGCTTTCCGCCCTCGCCGTGCACTCGGCGTTGTGCCTCTCCATATTCTTTGCTGCGTGGTCGCAGCTTTCATATCACACGCGAGCTGCCCAGACCACAGACTCGCTCGTCTTGCGATGGGAAGCCGTGGCGCAGCTGGCTCCGTCGACTCCTGCGACAAGGGCAAGGGCAAGGACGCCTCAGCTGCCGACCCATGGGCTACTGGCGCTCAGAAGCTTGCAGCAATCGACTTCCCCGCACACCAACGGAAGGAGCGGAAGGTGCTCACTGACTTGCGACTTGCTCCAGACCCAGGTCGACAAAGCTACCGCAGCCTTCGAAGCCACCTCAAAGCAAGTCGTTGCCGCCGCGCAAGCCGAGTTCCTGGCAAACATCACGAAGGTCACCGAACAGCTCAGCACCCGTCAGGAGTCTACCGAGCGGGACATTGCAGAGCTCAAAGGCCGTACCGACCGAGCTGAACGACTCCAAGGCGACCTCCAAGCCAGTGTGGCCGCTCTTCAACAAGCGCTACGACATGCTGAAGCTCTCCACCCTGCGCTGGACCTGGATGCCCTCGGTGCATGGGATCGTCCACCGAATGCAGCCACTTTCTGGTGCGGTGCTGCCTCTGAGTTCTCCGTCGCCGCACTCAAGTCCGCTCTGGCCCCCTGGTTCGACGCTGCCGATGTGGACATTAATGCGCTCCGCATCAACTCAGAAGGCCCTGCACGGAGGATCTCATTCACGCTCACTGGCGGCAGCTCGGTTGCTCTCCCGCGTGCTCAAGCACTACACCGCGCACTTCGACAAGGACGAGAATGGCGTCGCTTCCAAGTGGACGCCGAATCTGGCCCCACCGCCCTCTACGTTTCCGCGGACAAGTCACCACGCATGGTCAGACAGGAAGTTCAGCTCAAGAAACTCAACAAGATCATCAATGACAAGTTCCCCATGCTCGAGACTCGGATCCACCGCACTGGCGGCTTCCTCTCCATCAACGGCGCCCCCATCGTCCAGGTCACGGCTGGAGTCACTCCCGACGAAACTACCCGAGTTCGCTGGTCCGATGCAGCTGCCCCCGCTGGCATCCCCATCACCGAGCACGAGCCCCTGGCTGCCGCGCTGGCGGCTGCCTTCGCCAACCCACTGGAGGCAGTGCGGTGGCTTTAGCACGCGATGGTCGCCGTGGCTCACAAAACCTCACCCCGATGGCTTCAACCTGGTATCGTGGAACACGCAGGCGCTCAACGGCAGATCGGCAACACGGCGTGCTCTCAAGCGACAGATGCTGCTCCCATACATGCGGCAACGAGCGGTCATCGCCCTCCAAGAGACCCACGGCAATAGCATCGACATGGACATCCTGGCCTCGAGCACTGACCACAAGAACATTGCCTTCCACCCGGCTCTCATGACAGACGGCAACTCCTCGGAGACCGCAGGCGGCATCGCATTCCTGGTTCCGTTTGATCGAGCCGAACTCCGACTTCCACCTGAACAACGGCCCCAACGTACATTCCGTGCGATCGTCCTTGGCCGCATTGGTGAGCTACGCGTTCAAGATGGAGCACGGCAACACGAGACGACCATTTTCAACATCCACAACTACGACCTCAGCGACTCTGATCGGCAGCGATTCAGAGCTGCCTGGCAGGCAGCTGCCCAACGTTCTGCCCTCCACCCTGACAACCACGATTATTTCATGGCCGGTGACTTCAACATCGCACATACGCCGCCGAGGAACCTGCTCCACCCCACCGCTGACTCCGCTGCCGAGCGGTACCACTACCAGCCCGTCTTCTGGAAGAACATCTTCTCGCAGATGATGGAGATCATAACAGCGGCCACCGCTCATCGATGCGCTGCCAACATGACGGAGGCGGCCATCGACAGGTGCTTCGTCTCGATCAACGCGTCCAACATCACGCGCGTCGAGCCCCTACTTGTCGCCGACGGCAGACCGCTTGATAGAGAAGGAGAGCCCACCAGCGATCACAAAATCCTACACCTAAGACTTCGACATCGGCAACCACGCCCAGTCAGCGAGCGTGGCATCCCTGCCTTCCTCTTCGAGTCCATGCACTACAAGTTCTACTTCCAGTGCCTTGCCAAGATGGCCGACCTCTCTGCCGACCCAATTTCCAATTGGCGGCCAATGAAGCACATAATGGAGCTGGCAGCGCGCATGTCTCGCGACACCATCACCACCTTCTCCGCAACCGAACTCAAGCCGATCGATAACCAGAGGGAAGATGCACATGTCATAGCAGAGGCACGCGCTCTCACGCTCCGCAGTGTTGCCAGGGCCATCTGGTACCAGGACCTCACACTTGCCCAGCGGCTTCGCAACGACACCACCGCGGGGGCAAAGCACATCGACATCCACCATCACACGATCTCTCTTGTCGGCCGCACCGCCTTCGAGACCGAGCACTCCGCCATGCAGCTCCAGATCGCGGAACAACGTCGCCGTGCTGCCGCCGCACGCTCGCGAGTTGCCTACGCTGAACAGCGACCCGACGTTGGCGAACAATGGCGACGACGTGCCCGCCGTATTGGTCAGCGCAGTGAGGTCTGGAAGCCATGTTCGAAACGCTTGATACTCGCAGGCGTCCGATCACCCCTGGTTATGTAGGGTTGACCCTGTAAGTGCATTCGAGCCGGTTCAGTCGTCAACGGGGGGGGGTGTTAGTGGTGGAGCGTTTCCGCCGTTATTCATCGTTCCAGGGGGGTTAATTTCGATCGGACCCCCCGTCATTTCTCCCAAGTGGGGGGTCTGCCTGCGCGCGATTTGTCAGCTGTCGGCTTCTGCTGCTGCTGCTGCTGCTGCTGCTGCTGCTGCTGCATGCTGCTGCTGCTCCATGCTGCTGCTGCTGCTGCTCGTACGGTTCCAAGCGGCCCCTGGAGGCCCCCAAAGGCCGAGCACCCCAAGAGGCCCCCA